TTTTTCAGTTGAAAAGCAGAGTTCTGACAACATTGTCTAGGAGGACAATGGGGTCTAGGAGTATGTATAGAACATTGGGGTCTAGGAGTCTCCCCTGGTTCAAAACCATCTTTAGAGGCCCTAGCACGCCATTTCTCGACCCGCTCTTTCATTTGAGCCCAAAAAAACATTCATATCTTGTCTGACATCTTTGCTACAAACTCGGGTCTTCAACTCGGGCTTTCAATTGAAGGCCCGAGTTGTAGACCCGAGTTTGTAGCAGCGATGTCAGACAAGATATGAATGTTTTTTTGGGCTCAAATGAAAGAGCGGGTCGAGAAACGACGTGCTAGAGCCTCTAAACATGACAAATGTCTCTAAAGATGATATCTTTTTTCAATTGAAAAGCAGAGTTAGACTTTTCACAAGTCTGTGTACAGTCGGGGATATGTACAGTCGTCGAAGTATGAACCGAACCCCCCGCGCGGCCTATCCTATTACTTATGAGAGGTGATTTTGTATAACTTATCAGAGTATAACGTATGGCAGACTCGACTGTACTTTTCCCACTGAACTACTGTGAATGCATCGCGACCGCTTACGGGCCCCACTACCCCTGAAATTGAGATACACGGTAGCGTATCGGCTGGCCGAGTGCACCGCGTATCTACACACAACGGAGCTTCCCCTTCCATTGTCAGACCCTCGGGTGGAAAGTACTCACTTTCCTCCCGCTCATCAAAGAGCAAAATACAAATTTTCCTTTGCAGGGGTGTTAAAAAAATAGCATGTGTACCTCGGGCGGGAAAACATGACTTTCCGCCCTTGATGCACAATATACTAAAATAGATTAATTAAAAGCAGTTCAATTGGGAAAGAAAAATGTTCTCCTTCAATCTTTTCCAATTATTTAGCTCCTAAAATTGTCAACCAATTATTCATTTTCAGATTGGAGGACAACGCATATCGACAACAGCACGAATAATTCATGCAATCTTCTCATTCCTCATACTTGTATCAATTATTCTCTCGTTCGTTCGTATTATGGCTTGGCTCGACTTCCTGTACATCTGTGGTTACATTAAATTAGCGATAACATTGATAAAATATGTGCCACAGGCGTATTTTAATTACCAAAGAAAATCAACAGTTGGATGGAGTATTGGGAATATATTCTTGGACTTCACCGGAGGCGTGCTGTCTATGCTACAGATGATTTTAAATGCATACAATTATGGTAATTAAACTCAAATATGCGATATTATCTCGGAAACGAGAGATTTGATAAAAAAAAGAGTCAAAAGACCTGCCGCATTACTTCATATATCTAATCCGGAGATTGGCAGCTAAATTATTCTATTGATAATATTTCATTGCCAGTTATTAAAATGGCGATAACCAACAAAAAAATAAAATTCCGATTTCTTTTCTCACCAATAATGGTGCAAAATTTATTTTATGTTATTGCGCTCTACTAAACACGTTTCTAAGCTCGCTTCAAACTCGGTGTTCAATCGTCGAAACATAAAGTAGTTATAATATACTCGTTGGAAAAGCCCATATTTTGCAAAATGTCCTGGAACTTTACAGCCCGGAACGAACATTGAAACA